CAAATATAATATCTTAGGTAGTAGTCAGAATAGCTACTCAAGTGTTCTTGTCTGATTGGCAGGGACATGGCAGCAGGAGTTTCTCAATATGAGCAGAGTACTGGGGCAGAGAGGCTGAACAATCAAGGTTACAGGAAGGCATATTTAGGGCCAAGTAGGACCCTCGCTCATAGGTAGATGTACAGAAAGTAAGCTCTTGTTGAGAACTGGGGTGGGGGGTGCAGCTAGATGAAGATTCAGAATAGAGTAGGTGTCAAAGTTTAATCAGGAAAAGAGAAAATAAGCCAACCATTTCATCAGTGGCTTTCTTGTGTCACCTGAGCACCTGCTATGGAAGTTATGAAGGAAGATTATGGTTTTGTGGGTGCACTGGTTACAGAATTTAGGAAAAATAGATTAATTCTAAATCCCTGCTATTTAGTTGGGAAGTGGGAAAGTGTGGGCAGTCAGAAGCTCTATCTGTATGTAGATTGAATGTCTTCAATAACTGGAGCTGGAACACAGTAATTGAAGAATACTGAATTAGGCATGATGAAATTCATGTGAATATGAAATTCATGTATTTCAAAATAGTTATCTTAGAGAGTCATACACTGATATAAAAACATGCTATCAATGCTCAAAAGATTTTGGAATTTTGTTTTCTTTTGGAATCGCCTTCATATGTATAACCAAGAAAATAAGAATCTTGATATCATTCCTTTTGATTATATATCAAACTTGTCTGAGTGATTTTTAAATATATTTATAAATCAGATTTACTTTCAAAATATAAAGATTTGTTTCTTTTAGGATATTCAAAATAATGTGCTTACACATTTCAAGGCAATTCTAAAATAGTAGTTTCAAACATGATCTAAAGATCAACATTAGAGAGTAAGTAAATTAGCTTCCCAAAGTGACTATTTTGAAAGAGATGCCACTACTTGCAATGTATGTTTGTGTGTGTTAAAGCATACATAACAATTCTTAGTAATATTTTATGTATTTAGGAAGCATTCAGAAATTGGGCTTCAATCGGACTTCCTATTTTTGCTGGCATAAAATGACAGTTTACCACTATAACTAAATTAGAGTAGAAATATAATTATAAAATTAACACTTTAGCAAAAATAACTTTGAATATGTCAAATGTAATAATATGTAAATAAAAACATACAAATTTGTTTTCTATCTTGAGAAACAAGAATATTTTATGAATATCTAAATAGTGCAAAATATCAAAAGAAAAAAATCTGAATTTTTTGAAAAATTCTAAATTGAATGAAAACGAAGATTCTACTTGCTTTACACTAAAAATAATGTATTTATTAAAGTTCATTTGACACATTTTTAAAAAGCAAAGGGAGATGCATTTGATGAACTCTGCAGTGTTTTTAGTTTTATTTTTAAATTCAATACACATCCAAGTTCATCTTGTATCAGGTACCCAAGATCCTTCAGGATATATCCTCAGCCTAATTTTCTGCCCTTCCTTCCTAGTATTCTCTTGAATGTGATCTGCATTCTGTTAAAAGCTGAATGCTATTAAACATAGCCTATAGTTTCCTGCTTTTGTATCTTGAAATATATTATTCTGTTTGCCCAGACTATTTGGGAAGTGTAAAAATGAAGATTCTGGAGCAATATTCACTACATTTGAATATATTACCAATGAAGTTGGCCAAGAATAAATTTAAGGAAAATTCAAGTAAGTTTTTTTTTGTTTGTTTGTTTTTTGGTACCGGGGATTGAACTCAGGTTCTTGTGCTTGCAAGGCAGGCCACAGAACTGCTGAACTAAATCCCCAGTCCTCAAATAAGGGTTTCAATGAAAGCCATATGCATTGCTAACCCTTTTATTTGAGATTTGGTTATTTAACTAGGGTATCTGTCTTGGTAGTAGCCACAACTAGATAAAACAACCAATACTCCATAACCAGATCATTACCAAAACAGTGGAGCTCATCAGAGTCTAGAAAAGATTCAATCAGGATGTCTTCAGACACATGGCACTGAAGCAATATCAGTAACCTTACAATCAAGTCAGACTCTGGCTGGAATCATGATTTCTATTTTATTTGTCTGCACCCATAGCGTTAATCAGGACATCTCTTTGACTTTACGTAATTAGAGAAAACTAATGAAATTAAAATAAATTTTAATTAAGTGAGCTTAGTAAAATGCTGAATAATTAAAAAACAAGTGATATTTTATTAACTTGAGGATATAGTAAATAAAATCAGGGTAATAAATACTCACTAAATGTTCCTTTTGGAACTTACTAAAGTACATAGATTAAAAAACATGTCTCTAAGCAAAGTTCTGGCTATTTATTGCTGAATTATTTCAAAGTATTCAAAATCCACTTGTACCCTAAATATTTAACATTTCTTCGGAAGCTTTATATGGTGCCTTGTTTAGCAATTTTTGGATTAAATTTCTTTTGAGAACACAAAAGTAAGCATCTCTGTCTACATTTGAATTAAATTATAATATGTGGTACGGGCTAATTTTACAACTTTTGTTCTTGTTTTTGGTGGAGCTGGGAATGGGACCTAGGGTCTCATGCATACCAGGCAAGAGCTGTACCACTGAAATATCTTCCTCCCACCTCACCTCCACGATCTTTAAAATTTTTTAAACATTTTTTTACAACTATCCTTATCAATTATTCCTTGCCTATTTAAAATAATTAATGTGGGGGGTATGGGTATACTTCAGGAGAATGAATTTTTATCATACACAAGTTCCTAGGTTCAACCAAAAAAATTTATTCTCAGCGTCTTTACAATACTGTTTCCTTTTTATGTTTTAACATTCACTACCTTCAAATTTACCAACCCATAAGTAAATATGGAAATTTAACAAGGTTCTTATTATAAATTTAAAATATATTTAATGGAAGATATTTAATGAAAGTACCAGGATTTTTTTTTTTTGAGGCAAGATCCTGTTATATACCTCACACTGTACTTGAACTCACTATGTGACCCAGGCTGGCAGCTCAGCCTCCCATTTCCTCTGCGTGTTCTTTATTTTAGCAATGTATTCATAAGGAATCTCTACAATCCCAATTCTTTTTTGAAAAGTAAGGTTTGGTTTTGTTTTTTGAAAGATCTCCGTATGTTGCCCAGGCTGGCCTTGAACTCCTAGGGTCAAGCGATCCTACCACCTCAGCCTCCTGAGTGCTGGGAGTACAGACACATGCCACCACATCCAACTACATCCTGTTAAAAAAGTGAGTTTATATGGAGACAAAAATCCTTAGCTTCTACAGAACTTAACCTACGCTATCAAAAGCTACACATGAGCCAATTGTGGTGATGCACACCTATAATTTCAGCACTCAGAGGCTGAGGCAGGAGAATTATTGCAAGTTAGAGGCCAGCCTATGCTACATAGTGAGTTTAAGGCCAGCCTGATTATATAGCGAGATCCTGTCTCAAAAAATAAAAAATACAAACAAAAACCCCAAAAGCTATATACAGTACAACATTTCAGACAAACTGTACATTTGTCAAGGATGTTTCTCCTGTGCCTGTTTTTCTAAGTCTCATATTCTACTTCTATCTAAAACGTGGTTGAGGTGGCAAAGTTTCAGTACTTTGCAATTTTCTCAAGTCAACTTCTATATTCTTTGTTCTAAATGCCTATCACAACAGGAAGCTCTTAAGAGAAATGTTCTCTACCTCTCTGTCAAACTCACTTCCCTCCACTTTTTATTCAGATTAACTTTTTTGACCCAGCTCCCCCTTTTTGAAAGGTATAAATGATATAATATTTAAATCTCCCAGCAATCTCTTGGTGAGGCACCTTTGACAGGTACTTGTTTTGAGAGAGTCTCGCTAAGTCACTAAATTGCCAGGGCTGGGTTTGAACTCTCGCTTGTCTGGCCCAACCTTCTCAGAATGCTGGGATTGCATGCATCTACTGTCTGACTACTGTTATGCCCTCCCCTCATATATCCCAACCAACACGTGTTGGTCAGGATAAATCATGCCTGTATATTTAAAAGGTTCAGTGGCAGCTGCAACTTGGAGTACTTGTATGTACCTATAAAGAAACATGGTTCACATTCTCAGACTGATATTTTTTCCTCTCCTGTATATTTAAAAGGTTCAGTGGCAGCTGCAACTTGGAGTACTTGTATGTACCTATAAAGAAACATGGTTCACATTCTCAGACTGATATTTTTTTTCCTCATTGAGTTTATTGGTACATTTTAGGTATACAGTACAGTTATATTCATCATTGGGATCTTGCACCTTTACATGACAGGTCTTGGTCCTCATTTTTTCCCCTTGTCCCTGCCCTCCCTTCACCCCCTCCTCCCCTCCCCCTTTACAAACACTTCATTTCCATTTTTTTCATTTTCTCATAGTGTTTTCTTTTCCCTTATTACCTTTCCCCACCCTTCCCACTTTCCCTACACCTTTAGCCCCTTTCTTCCTATTTCACAGACTGGTATTTTTAATGGAAAAGGAGTACAGTTAAGGTGTATGTAAGTTGAGAAAGCTATTTGGCTATCTTCAGTACCAGTCCATCAGCACCCATGCCTTGTATACTACAACCGTCCCGTCTCTAACTCACATCCTGAGAGTGTGAGTTTTGATAAAGCGGCGTCCTTCAAGACTGAGGGAAATGTTCACCTCAACTTGGTGTAACATGTTTTTTGGTGGTTCCTCTCAGAGTCTTAGTTACCTAGAGTTCTCCTCAATTTCCCTAGCAGACACAGAATCCCTTTTCGCCCCCTCCTCAGGTTTGGGTTTCCTCACCTTGGTGGTCAGTTTTCGGTTCGCTGGCTAGGCTCCGAAAATAGTCTGCGGAGAGCTCTGCGTCTCTCCGTCGCCTGGGTAACAACTTTGTTACCCTCCCCCACCTCTACCTCTGGGTTCCCGCTTGACTTTTCTGGCCAATCATAGAAGAGTCAGCTTTGGAACGCTATCCGTATCAACCAATCCAAACGCGTCCAGGTCGGGGTCAAGGGTTGCCCTTTCTAGTTAAGTAGGTCGACCCCATTTAAGCCTCAGTCTGGGTTAGCGCCTCTCCGGCTGAGAGGAAACTTCTTTCAGTCTCGAGTAGGTCTGATTTGGCTCTTTGTTGGCTACGTAGTCTTAGAAGCCTGCCCCTTTACCTTGCAAACCGGACAGTGGTAAGTTTGCATGGGTTTTTTTTTTTTTTTTTTTTTTTTTTTTTTTTTTAATTCCCTGTTGTTGGCAGGCTTCGCTCTCTATTACGCCTTTTCCATAGTGAATTCCAGATATAAGCACTCTATCTCCAGCAGTTGTGGAGCAGCCAAGGGCGGAAGCGTGGGGTCGAGTGGCCGGGGCTTGAGAGGATTTGTTGCCGTTCTTCACTCGCTCTCAACGTCCCTCTCTCCGTGACAGAGACAAGCGTTTTTCTTCTGTCCAGTGCGTGTGCGTGTTCGTGTGTGTGTGTGTGTGTGTGTGTGTGTGTGTGTAGTCTATGTACGTATAATAGGATACCGCTTTTCATTTTCTGCTTGGGCAAGCCTTCCTGCCCTGAAGCCCCAGAAGGAGCCCCAAGCTGGCTGCCGGGAGGCTCCCGAGCCGCGCTAGCTGGAACTCTGCGTGGCTCCTAATCCCAGGAGAATCGCAGGACGGATACCCTGCTTTTCCCGCCTCAGAGTGGAGAATCTCAGGCGCCCCGCCCGCCTTGCCTCTGCTTGGGAATTTGTGCGTCTTCGTGTACGGGTAGGGTTGTGACCTTATTTTCCTATGAATTGCGCGGTTTAGTTTTAAACAAAGAGGAGAGAGGGAGCAATAATTACTTGAAGTATTGAGGATGGACCTATCTGCATTATTTGAGTATTTTAAGTGAGGAAAGATGGGATGATTTAATGTTTGCTTTCAGTTATACAGGGATTGGAATTCGATTACGAATGCACACGTTTGCTTTCCTTCTCTCTCCTACCGTAGTTTTCTTAACTTCCACCTCATCTTGCCGAGGCGATAGTGGAGTGTGGAGTAATTTGTTAGTATCCACAATAAGAAAAAAAATGAGCAAAAAATAATATTTACATTATTAACTAAAGTAATTGGCTTTTTGACCAAATTACCTGTACTGTAATTCTCATTACTGTGCATGACCCCAGTTAAAGTGTCTTGCATGTTATTAATTGTTTTTATTCAGCCTCACTGTGCATTATTCTGTCTGTAAATTCCGAGGCAGTGTTTTGTAGACCTTTTGGCAGTGATTAACAACAGAAATAAATTTTATATTGTGATACCAGTACACACACACATAATATATAACTAACAAGTGTTTTGAAAAATATTTCTTAATGGGGAAGGGAGGAGGGGGTGAAGGGAGGGCAGGGACACGGGGAAAAAATGAGAAGCAAGACCTGTCATGTAAAGGTACAAGATCCCAGTAATGAATGTAACTGTACTGTATACCTAAAGTGTACCAATAAATTCAATGAGGGAAAAAAAATGAAAGAAAAATATTTCTTACTACATGCAGCATACCGTGACACTATTATATTTTTAAAAATGTGGACCACAGCCTACTAATGAATTGTCACTTACAGTTTCAAAGGCACTGTCATTAGACCTGTGGTTTTCAGACTTTTTTATATACTTAAGCAATTCATGAAAAACACAGCTTGCTTTAGCTTACTCTAGAAATTGGTTCTGGGGTAGGGGTGGGGGCATCTGTGTTGGAACTCGAAAGGTATGTGATAACTATATCACATATAACAAGTGCTTTGTACAGTGTCATTGCATGAGTGTTCAATAAATATTAGTTTTGTTCTTGGGAAACACATATTTATCTTTAGGGATATAATCGCCTTTTCAGGGTTTGACCTGCCCCTGAAAGCACTAGTTTCCCCAGGTTGAGGAGGTAAGGAGGTAGGGGATGGGTTCAGGATCTAAGATGAATGTTTAAGCACTTGTCTTTTAAGGAGCATGTCCTGAATACAGAAAATTAGAGGTTGAAGAACATAAGGCTTAGAGGGGTCAGTGACTTGCCAAGGGTCATGCTATCAGTGAATGAATCTTCAGAGAGTAGAACTCACTTGATTAAATCTAATGTTCTTGTCCATTATGCCTTGATAGTAGATCAAATCTAGAGGCAGAAGTTGAACTAGGAAGAGCTTCCCTGATTTGTCTTGCCTAGAGCAAGGTAACAGAATCTGACTGCTAGTTGTTTTGGGGTTTTTTGTTTGTTTGTTTGTTTGTTTGTTGTTGTTGTTTTTTGTTACCAGGGATCAAACTCGGGTCCTTGCACTAGCGAGGCAGGCGCCAGAATCACTGAGCCAAATCCCCTGGCCAGACTGCTAGTTGTTTTTAAAGTAGTGAAACTTGTGAAATCGAAAAGACTAAAAAATACACTCAAAAGTTTCTGTAAGTATATAGCTTTGAAAAAGGGATACTGTTTAGCTAAACCTTTTACAATATATGGAGAAACTCTTAAAACATTGGTTAAACAATTTATTAAACTGGCGCTGAAAATAAAGATGAAAAAATTTACCCATTTCCCTACTATCATAATTGACTGTTCAGGTCCCCTCCTGTCTTTATCCATATATACCAATATTTTTATATGATTGTCATCTTTGTTTGTAGAAGGTTTTTGTTGTTATTCCTTTTATTCAATTTTGTTCTAGTAGTTTTTCCATTTGATAATCTTTATATTTGGATTAATATTGACCTAATATTTCATAGAGTAGGTTGGCTATCATTTACTTAACCTAACTAAACCAATAACAGACTTATTTCTAGTTATTCTATATTATAGAAAAGTAACACAGTAATGTCTTATTTACTTAAAATCATTGATACAACTTTTGTCTCCCATTTCACTGGGATTTAACCAAAGATTTCTTCACCAAAAATTTAACAATTGTTAAAATTTTGCCAAACATTTTCTTTAGATGCTGATTTTTTTTGAGATATTGCAGATTGAACCCAGGACCTCATGCATGCTAAGCGTGGTCTTGAACCAGTGAACCACCCCCCACCTCAGCTCTTGAGATTTTTAAATGAATTAAAGCATTATGGGTATCTTTTTGTACCTCTTCCCAGTATCAATTCTTTCTCGCCACAGAGATAATTGCTTTTCTGAAGTTTGTACATGTTTTTTCAGTATGTTTATAAATTCACTGAAGTGTGACCATAAATTATTTTTAATATATTTCTGGTGTGTCTTCAAGATTTATATAAATAGAATACTGTACTTTTTCTTCTGCAACTTTTTAGGGGAAAGATGGTTATTTCTTATTGCTGTGTAGTATTCCTTGTATGACTGTAAAATTTTAAAAATCATTCCTCTGTCATGTTGAACACGTATAGATTATATCAGGTATACAGATATTTATATAAATCATGTAAATATTTTATGATTCCAAGGGACACGAGGTGCCTAGAATAGGAAAATTCATAAAGACCGAAACTGTAGTGAGATCATCAAGGACTGAGAAAGGAGAGAATGGGAACTTAGTGTTTAAGGGGTACATAGTTTCTGTTTGGGATGATAAAAAAATTTGTAAATAGATAATGGTGACAGTTAACATTGTGGATGTATTTAATGCCAATGAATTTACACTTAACAATAATTAAAATGATAACTTTTGTTGTTTATCTTTTGCAATAAAAACACAAACAAGAAATGTGCTTGTTTTTCAGAAGCATATACTTAAATAATTTATTTTTTTAAAGAGTAAGGCCCTTATTTGAAAAAAAGCTTTTATATTAACCAGATCTGTTTTTCTTTGTGAGGTAACTTCTGAGATTTTTAAGTGAAAACTTGGCTTAATTATATGTATATGTAAAGGCTTCTATGCATACCTTGTGTAAGACTTCTTCAGGTTTTTAAAAATTAATTAATTATTTACTTACTTATTTTTGCTGTACTTCATCAAAATTTGGGCACAATTCTTCTAAACATGGGTATACCTTTGAAGCTATCTTTTGCATTTGTGTGCCTTTCCTCCTTTATTTCCTTGGCTAGTTCTCTCAAATGTTTTACTCCCTTCCAAGGCTTCCAACCCTTGTTACCTCTGCTCTTTTCTTATTGCCATGGTTTAGATCTAGAGTGACCTCCAAAAATTGGCTTTTAGAAGGTGGTAGGTTCATGGGGGTGTTACACTCATCAGTGGATTAGCTGATTGGTGAGTTCATAGCTGAATGTGCTCATAGGACTTGTGGTATGGTTGAAAGAGGTATGTCACTAGAGGTGTACCTCTGGAGGGTATGTCTTTCTCCCTGGCTCCTCCAATCTCTCTGCTTATTGGCTTCTGTGGATTGATCAGCTTTTCTCCATTATGCCTTCCACCATACCATTTGTGTCTTGAAGTCAGCTGACTGGACTAGTTGTGGATGTGGGTGTAGGGTATTTTTTTCCAGTAAAGGAAAGTGATTAATATAATCTTCCATATGCTCTGCCTTCTCCCTCTCCAGGGTCCCTTCATCCCCTTCCAGAGCAGGCCCACCACCCTGTCTTTCCTTGAGTTCAGTACCTCCAAGACTGTCCCCTGAGTCTTCTCCCCTCCCCGCCTTTGGTCTCACCCTATCTTTCATTTTTAAATTTTCTAACTGCTAGCATCTTTCACTAACAGTGAGACCTGCTGTATAGCAATCTACAATATTCTGAAAAATAACATTTCTTTTCGTGGTGCTGAGGATTAAACTCATGGCTCACACATACTAAGCAAGCACTACCACTGAGCTATAGTACAGCCCCACATTTGTAATATTTATAGAATTGACTTCAATTTGTGGCTTAAAAATAACTTTTTTGCGGTTCCAGGGATCAGACTCAGGACCTTGCACTTGTGATGCAGGCATGGTGCCACTGAGGCAAATTCCGGGCCACTAAAAATAACTTTATAGTTCTTAAAATCAGATTCTGACCTTATAGGTTTGAGAAGTTATAGTATGAAGAGGGGGAGGACTTAATGTTAAAGATAATTAGTACATTATTACTGCTTTATGTGTTTAATATTGAACTCAAAATGGTACACCATTTTCAGAAACCCTGCATTTTATTTTGACATCAAATAAAATGATCACCATTATAAGTTTGATTTTTTCATGTTTCCTTCAATATCCCTGTGCACAATTGGACACACAAGTTTAAATATCACATTGTTTCTCTTGTATGAGAGGCCCAAAGGGTGAATAAGGA